TTCATAGGTTTGCGATATTTCTAGATTCCAATCGTTAGGTACTAAAATATGAAAATCTAATGCACACTTACTGTAATTGTTTATTATTTAATTTTTAGATGTTATAAACAATTTTTTTCTACTTCATTTACTATATCCATTGTTAGTCTCCATCTTTAATACAATTTCTTTGAGAAGAGAAATATTTTATGAATAATAAATATTTATTAATATTATTTACCATTTAGTTGTTAAATTATTTATAATTATTCATTTACGACTAATTAATAACAATACAGCATTTATTGCGGCAATATTCTCAGCCAGCACTGATCCAGTGCTACGCCAGCGCTGCCTGGCAGCACTGACAGACAGTACTTCGGCAGCGCCAGACGGCGTTATCATCCCAGTGCCATGCCAGTGCTGGCTCTCAGCCTTGCCGCCAGTGCTGCCAGTGCTGACGCAGTACTACGCCAGTTGTAAATTTCCCATTGGGGAGTGGATATCAATAATAATAAATTGAGAATAATAGAAATGTTTCGTTCTCTGGTCTTGATGTGGAATGAAACACGTGGGGAGACTTGGGTCTTACCGGGCCCTACCTGGGCGTTGATAGAAAATTATTTTATCCCGAATGAAAATAGTAGACCAAAGACGCGAGCGAATAGAGAACGCATATAAAGCCCAAAATTCGATTAATTACTTTGAACTGACTAACAGTTTTGAATTTGAATATTAAATCAGAATTCAGCCAAGATTTCAATAATATAAAAAGCTATTAATGATTTTTTTCAGTACATTTAGAATTAAAATAACTATAATTTGCAAGACTATGATGATTAGTGTAACGATTGATTCTTAACAATATTGACCAGATCCTGGCAATTTAAAAACCTAAAATAAACCTTCATAGTTAAAATACATAACTGTTGCTGCTAATATTGTCCCAGGACTTGAAGTTTGGAAACAGTTCCAATTCACGAAAATTGAATTATCTTATCTCGTCAATATTGCACCAAGATTAATATTTAACCGACTGTAGGTGCCAATATAGGCCCAAGTTTGTAAATGTTGAATTGAAAACAATGCCAAGTTTTGGATTTAAAAATATTCGAGGAAAATTTGACTGAGATTTCTATCATTAACATTTATGTGGAAAAAGTACAATTTTTCTGAATTCTATAATTATTGAAGCTGACAATATTGTACTAACTGTTATTGCCATCATTTGCCCAAGTTTCAACGTCATTTCTCAAATTTAAAAATTGCATCAATATTGCCCAGGATTTCAATTGTGTAATAACTAAAATACAAAAACCAGTGTCCATTATTTAAACTCGTTAAGAGTTAGATTATGCACTCGCCATCTTGGGTCAATATTGGTTCAATCATGGTAGCATTGCTTCTATAACACAGGACCACAAAATTTTTTTAAAAGAAAGTATTGACCAGACCATGGTTTTTATATGTTTTTTCGGTCGCTTAATTCGAATCCGAACTCAGTTTTCCGCCATCACGTTAAGTTTCTTCAAAATGGCGGATCCAATATGTCTGTCGAATTTTTTAAAAATTTATCAGATTTACTTGAAACTTGTTACTCGGGGTTTTTTGGGGTCGCTAAATACGAATTTCACCTTAGTTTTTCAAAATTCAAAATGGCGGATCCAATATGGCTAACAAATTAGTTAAAAATTTATCAGATTTTGAATTTTTAAAAACTAAGGTGAAATTCGTATTTAGCAACCCCAAAAACCCCCGAGTAACAAATTTCAGGCGAATTGGGTGAATTTTAAAAAAATCGACGCCATATTGGATCCGCCATCTTTAATTTTGAATATTTTTGAGTTTTTTTGATTGTTTAACATTATATAATATTTTTTCAGTGTTTTAAAGTTGTTTTTTAATAGAATCTTTTGCTTATTTATATTTAAATCTTGTTTACAGTCAGTTATTTTCGAAATTTATTAATTTGTGAAGAAACTTGACGTGATGGCGGAAAACTGAGTTCGGATTCGAATTCAGCGACCCAAAAAACATTTAAAAAATATAGTCCGGTCAATACTTTCTTTAAAACAATTTTGTGGTCCTGTGTAATTGGACGCTTTTTTAAAATTTTTCCATTGGATTACAGAACGTTGAATAAGACTGCTGTTTAAAGTAAAAAAAAAAAATACGATTTGGTTTGGCCAATTTCACGAGCTATACTACCATGGTCGGGCCAATATTGGTCTGAGATTGTTATAGTGTACGATGCAAACACTACTCTTGAATTTTAATAAACCCTTTTTCATAATTTAATTCTTAATTTAATGTTCCTCCCATTTAACATCAAATTTTGGGAGTGATTTCTACATTCGCAGTCTTGGGCCAATATTGGCTAAATTATGGAAAAATTACTTTCAATATTGCATTGGTTCAATCTCACCCTAGGAAGGTAACCAGAAAATATAAAAGCCTTATAAGAGAAGCAAAAAAACACATGATTCTACTAATTTTGTAAAAATGACCAATATCGGCCCAGTATTGGCTCAATATTGAAAAAATAACAACGCAAATCAAGTCTCGAATTTCAATATTAATTGATGATTTGTTTTAATTATTGAATTGTATTCAAAATTATTACAAATTAAAATTATTTTTTTTGTTTGAAAAGCATAAATTGAATTAGTAATTTAGAAATATATTAATATCTTGACTATTTTGGCGGGGGTTTTTTCTTCTTGGTTTTATTTTTAAACGCTTTTTGCAAAATGATACTTTCTGAGGAGATAATTTGCAATTAAAAATATGTCCGATGCTTTAATATTACTCTCTCGATATTGAATTACCTACTTCTGCATCGCTCCTGAAGTAACTCATTTAATTTATGACGGCGTCGCGACGCCGCTATGCCCTGATTCCGTCAATTCTAGACGGTCGGTTTAAATATACATATTATCCAGTTATTAGAATAAAATATTCAGTCAGGATGTATAATGAAAGTCTGCACCGATCAATTTTGAATATTTGCCACTCTCTCTTTTTCTCTCTTTTTCTGTCTCTGTTTTTCCCATTTTTTCTCTCCTTTTCTCTCTTTTCCTCTCCAGTACGAATTAATAAGTAGTAACTGAAATCGATACAAGTTTTTATTTCTGAAAATCAAAAAAAAAAGGAAAACTCGTCTCGTTTGTAAGAATACATTATTTTCTTTGTTTTTAGTCTACGTTTATTTAAAGGTTATAAGAAAACTTAGGTTTTTAAAAATTTTTTAACTTAATTTTTTTAAGATTCATTGAGTTCTCGAAAATAATTTATTGACAAATTTTCAAGCAATTGGAATATTGTAATATTAAAAATATTTTTATTAAAATTTTTCAAAATAATCGAGATTTTGAAGAATTTTAACTGAAAATTTTGAAAATAATTGAATTTAACGCAAATCCAGAATCAAAAATAAAATAATGGACAGTGAATTTCCAAAAGTTTTAATATTTTGAAAATTAAATGTTATAAAATATTTTGAAATTGGAAAAAAGTGAGCTCTTTTCTGTATTTTGCATAATATTGACAAAGTTTAAAAAATTTTTTGGGAAAATTCCCCAAAATCTTGGTGACGCAATTTTAAACAAAAAGTTAAATTTCCACTAAGAAAACTTCCGGAATATTCCCCAAGAAAACTCGAGGAAATTTTGCTTTAAAATCTTGTGGAATTTTCCCTTTAAAATCTTGGGGAAATTTTCCCCAAAAACCTGAGGAAATTTCCCCTTAAAATCTTGTGGAATTTTCCCTTTGCAACAATATTTTTATGAAAAATTGCAAAAAAATTTTAGTGAAGAATCTTTTTCTCTCCACTTCGTGGAAAATTTTCTAATATTTTATCACTTTTCCCCAAGTTTGTGGAAAATCCCACAAAATCGTAGTAAAAATACTTTTCCTTATAAATTTGTGGAATATACCACACAAGAAACCTCAGGGAAAAATCCTCAAATTTTTTACAGTGTATTTTTCTTTCAATCAAAGAAGGAAGATTAAAAGTAGTTTTGAATAAAATATTTTCAAATAAAGAAAAAATAACTTTTTTTGTAACTGAATATTTGTATGTATTGAAAAGAAAATGTAAAAGTAATTGTTGAGCGGAATTTTATTTTTGTTAAAATTAATAAATTATTAATAAATTGAACTTTCAATAAATTGAATTCCTCTATAAATTAAAGTTGATTTAAGGTTGTTTGAAAAAATTTTGATGCCTAAAACATTCGATAAATAAAACCCTCGATAATTTGAATTTTTTTTCATGTTCCTTGAGATTCAATTTATCGAGACCGAGAGTCGACTGTATTTATACCTCCTGATTTTCTTGTTAGAATTTTATTTTATAATTATAATTAAATATTGTAGTTTAATTTAATTTCTATTATTATTTACTAATTATTTTTTATTATAAACTGTTCATTATTTTTCACTATCTATTATCTATTATTTATTTTATTATATATTTTTTATTTATTTTATCATTTATTTATTGTTATTTTTCATTATTCGACTCAAACTTCTATTGTTCTTCAATGAGATATTGAGTTAAATTATTTTATATTATTGACGAATTTTATTTTTAAAAAAGATAATTTGTCGAATGCTATTACTTTTAATATAGCATTTATTCCTTTGGTAAGAAACTTATTTTTTTTTAATTTTGTTAATTTCTGATATTTCTGTACTGAATATATTATACCTTGATACTGTATTTGATAAACTCCCTGAAGAGGAAATCTTTTCGATTTCCTCTTTGACTGATTTTTATTTTCTTTTTACTTTTCATGAATTCAGACAGTTGATAAATAATGAAGACATTCGAACAAAAATTGGTTTATTTTAATTGAATTAATTTTTTATTAAAATAAATCAATTTTTGTTCGAATGTCTCCATTTATTTATCAACTGTCTAAAATAAATGTTGAACGTCAGATAAATAATTTATTAACAAAAAAGAAAAATTTCCAAAGTTGTAAAAAAATTCACGAATGAATCGTTTGTCTTTTCAGAGTCGAATATTGGAAGATGCATCCATAATGTGTAATTCCTGGTCACCGAGGCACAATGTGAGTACACCAATATAAAAATATTTGTCTGCTTCTTGTTTTTTCCTTTGATTTTCGTTTACTTTTTCGCTTACTTAAAATTATGCCCTGGTAATTATAAATTAGTTTATTAGAGGGGAAAAGTTTTTTGAGCTTTATAGAGAAAATGAGGCTTTGAGATGCTCTCTCTCTCCCGAGAATTAGGATAAAGATGAGCGGGGTTTTTGGTTATATACACAAATATATATAGAGAGAGGCCTTGGAGAAAAGAGGCTGTAAGCCGTGTAGCAAACGTCCCATAATATTTATGCTTTACGGAGCCACGTAGTTACCGTGTAGAGCACGCCCCACATAAACTCGCTAACTCGTGGTTACGATTATGGGCAGAAGTAAATTGATTATTTAGATATACGATGAGGTGGCACGGGATAGTTTGAGTGCCATAAAAAGAGTCAAGTGTCACTTACGTTTGCCGCATGGATACAAGAGAGTGAGAGAGGCCATCGCCAAACATATATATGTATAGACTCTTCTCTCGCACAGCTGTGGTCGCTCCTGTTGATGTCGATGATCGTGTCGAAAACTTCTCATACAACATTTTATAATTCTCATATCACACTCAACTTTACCCAAACGATCATGTTCGAAAAAGAACAAAATTGGTCAAGTCACCAACGTTGACAACGTTCACTTTTAAATTAATTATTATTATTAACAATTTTAAATTACTCGAATAATTATCTAATTTATTTAAACATATTAACATTTTTAAACATTGTCTTCAGGGCTCGGATTGTGCGACTTTTTCGACTTTTTTCGACTTTTTTTGTGAAAAAATGCGACTAATCGACTTTTTCGAGATTTATAATAATTTATAATTTTATAATAATTAAAGATGACCGAGTGATAAAATCATTAATTTAAATTCTAAGACTTTATAAAAAAAAAATTTAATTATTTTTTATGCAAATAATTGAATTATTGGGAAGAAATTTATAAAACATTAGTAATTGAATTTTGCAGAAGAATGTTGATATTTATAAAGATAATTGAAATTTTGAAGAGAATTAAAAAAAAATTTTTTGAAAATAATTGAATTTCTGTGAAGAATTTTCTTACTTTTGAAGATAATTGAATTTTGCAAAAAATTGTATCAGAACTTTTTAAAATAATTAAATTTCCAGGATGAATTTTATTATTTTATCAAGATAATAAAAATTTCAACGAGGAATTTAAAAAAATTTTTGAAAATAATTGAATTTCTGCGAAGAATTTTATTACTTTTGAAAATAATTGAATTTCTAGGATGAATCTATTATTTATAAAGATAATTGAAAATTTTACAAGAATTTTGATAAAATTCTTTACAAATAATTGAATTTCAGAGAAGAATTTTATTACTTTTGAAAATAATTGAATTCCTGCAAATAATTTTATTAACTTTGGTAGATAATTGAATTTCTGCGTAAAATTTTATTAAACGTTCTGAAAATAATTGAATTATTACAAATATTTTTATTAGTATTTGAAAATAATTGAATTCATAAGAAGAATTTTATTTTAAATTTGTGAAAATAATTGAATTTTTGCGAAGAATTTTATTACTTTTGAAGATAATTGAATTTCTGCGAAGAATTTTATTACTTTTGAAGATAATTGAATTTCTGCGAAGAATTTTATTACTTTTGAAAATAATTAAATTTCTAGGATGAATTTTATTATTTATAAAGATAATTGAAATTTTGACAAGAATTTTATTAAAATTCTTTGCAAATAATTGAATTTCAGAGAAGAATTTTATTATTCACAAAGATAATTGAATATTTGAACAGATTTTTTAAAAAATGTTTAAAAGTAATTGAATTTTGCAGAAGAATTTTGATATTTATAAACATAATTGAAATTTTGAGGAGAATTTTAAAAAAAATTTTGAAAATAATTGAATTTCTGAAAAGAATTTTCTTATTTTTGAAGATAATTGAATTTTGCAAAGAATTTTATCAGAACTTTTGAAAACAATTAAATTTTTATGATGAATTTTATTATTTATAAAAAAATTTTGACGAAAAATTTAGAAAATTTTTTGAATATAATTGAATTGCTGCGAAGAATTTTATTACTTTTAAAAATAAATGAATTTCAGAGAAGAATTTTATTATTTATAAAGATAATTGAAATTTTGACAAGAATTTTATTAAAATTTTTGTTAAATAATTGAATTTCGGAGAAGAATTTTATTATTTATAATAATAATTGACATTTTAAAGAGAATTTTTAAAAAAATGTTAAAAATACCGAATTAAAATTTTGCTATGAATTTTATTAAATTTTATAAAATTTTATTCCTGATTGTTTGATATCCTAAATTTAAATAGATTGCATTTTATCAGAATTTTTATCAAATATGTGAAAATCAAAATTTTTTCTTTTCTAATTTTTCTAAAAAAATTATGTCTTTGAAAATAGTGAAAGTGTTATTCTGAAAATATGAATTTTTAATATTGAATTTTACTATTTTTGAAGGTAATTTTTCCAAATCCCTAATTAATTTCACTAATTTTTTTCTGAAATTCACTTCGTATATAGTAAAATTCATGGATATTTTAAAACAAAAGTAACGTTGTAAAAGAAATTTTGATTAAAAATTTAAAGAAAGTTACAGACTACGGATAAAATAACAAAATGTCAATAACAGATAAAGTTTAACAAAAAAAAAAAGATTTAAAAAAGCTGTAGGTAGTTATGAGAAAAAATTTAAAAAATCTTTAAAATAAATTTTTAGTTACTATAATTCAATAATTTTTGCTTAATTTGAAAATTCTCTTTTTTTTTAACTGAATCCCCTTTTTGAAAAATAAAATCCCCTTTTTTACCTAATATTACATGAAAAAATCAAAGTGACAGAAACAGGAAAGATGAAAAGAAGGGAAATAGAAAATACTTTTTCCTGAAATCTATCGTAAAAATAAAAAAGTGACGCTTTTCGATGATAGAGACCTCATGCTGTAAAAAAGTTATAGGTTATGTTTAGGAAAGATTTTGCTTAATTGAAGATTCATTTTCAATTATATAAAGTCAAAAACCATTTTTATCAACTATTTTTTATACTAAATAATTAATAAAAAATTATTTTCGTGAAGTATCACGTGGGTATTAAATTTTAACTCCCTAGGTCAAAACGACTAAGTTAAAAAAAAGTGGAAAATATTTGCAGACTTTTGTAGTTTTATTCTAAATTAATAACTATTGATATGAAAAAAAAAAATGAAATTTGCTTTTTATGCCACAATTTTTCTAAGGATATCAAATTGAGACAAAAATCAAATCAACACTGTTGCGAAGCAACGTTTCGATTCGCTTTTTGACTCAATTTCGTTATCCTGAGAAAAACTGTGTGTGTTTAATTTCTGCCGAGTTATGTAGGGTCAGATAGACAGAGAATTATTATAAAAGAATTCTATGTCACTTTGATGTAAATTTGTCTTTATCAAATATCCTAATGTACTTGTAGTGCTATTCACGTTTGTTGCATTGTTTACCATACCAACAATGACCCATTAGGTAAATAGCGCCGACTGTACAATTAGAATCAAATTTTCATCAATGAGGCATCTTCACCTGTATATACATTTCTTTCTTAGTAAATAATTTCATTATAGAATTTGGCTTATTTAGAACTTTAATTTTCACTTGCTCTTTATTTGTTTTTTTTCATTATTTACACTTGACGAAATTAACGATTTTTAAAATTTTACACGTATAAAAATACAAACGAAGCATACAAATAAAATTTAAATAAATTAAAAATAGGAATGAAATTAAAATTACATTAAATGAATGTAAATTATAAACATTTGGATAATTTTGATATCCGCAGTTATTAACTGTATGATTAAAAATAAAATATCGATTAATAAATAAAAGTCAGTAGATATCAATAAATATTAATAGCAATAAATATAAATAAATAAATACTACTGCTAAAATAAAATTAAAATATTTGGAATATGGAAAAATATGAAAAAAAGTAGTAACAGATATTTTTAGTCAGACAAGCAAGTCTCGCTTTTCTTATACAATTGTATCAATTAACGAACATGTCTGCATATAAAATTAAATTTATAAATTTTTGGTATCAGTAGCGAAGTTGTGGAGAATTTTCTTTTTTTTTAAATAAAATTGAATAGGGATATAGTTTCCTTTTAGCGGTGAGTACACAGGAAAAAAGAAGTGTTATTTTAACACTAAAAGTAGTGTTAAACAACACGCAACATTTTTAACCGATACTGTGTGATTTTAACACTTCATTGGTGTTAAAATAACCCTAGAGCGTGTTAAATTGACACTAGAGGGTGTTAAATTAATATACATTTTAAATGGGGTTAAAATAACACCAAAATTGCGTTAAAAAAACACCATCTGAAAACTACACGCAACAAATTTAACACATGTTTTTTTCTGTGTAGTGACAGTCGTTTATAGTCAGACAAAAAATTTTCATTTTTGCAAGATTAGTGGCTGTAATGAATAGTTTAAATAGTTTGAATAAATTTGATTTGAAGAGTTCCGGTTCGAGGATTATAATATTATGTACTTTTTTCTAAAATTTATCAACAGTAGTAATAGTGACTTTTAGACAGACATATGATTAAGAAGTTATATCAGTAGCAAAAGTGTGTTAAACTTCTAACGTTTCTATATTATTAGAACTTTATACTCAGTGTAATAAAGTCAGAGAGTTTATAACTTTATGCCAAAGTAGTAAAGGTCACTTAAGGTCAGATAATCATAATCTAGTTTTAAAAAATTCGATTTTAGTAGAAAATGTCAATTTTAACAGCATGTGATTGTTAGGCTCTCAATGGTAATTTTTTCGACCACATTTCTCTTCAAATATTTAATAAATTGAGCTGAAATTTTGTACAAAAGTCTAAAATAAAATAAAGAAGGGCAGTGATGTAAAAAAGTTTAAATATTTTTAAAATTAATTATTACAAATTACTTTAAAATTATCAGTTGTC